CCAAAGTGCTGATTGGTGGAGGGGCCGTAGGGGGCGGAGCTACGGCCTGGTGGTGACCCGGATCTTGTGGATGATGACCCAGTCCTTCTGGGCGGCGGTGACCAGCACCCGGAGGCAGGAGGCGGGGGCCGTGAGGTTCTGATCCAGCCCCTTTAGCTCCAGACGCCCGTTCTCCAGAACCCCCACCGGCAGGAAGTCCCCACAGCTCTGCCCCCCCTCCAAAACCACCACGCCCCGCCCCATCTCCACCCGCGCCGAGTCCAGCAGGTCCTTCCCCCCCGACCCGGTCTCCACCAAAATGGCCGACAGCACCACGGGCTGCTGGAGCACCACCGTGAGGTGGTTCCCCTTTTCGGGGGCGCGCCCCCAGAAGAAGCTGTCCCCGGCCTCCCAGGCATTCTGGGGCAGGTTCCTCTGGTACACGGACATATCCGTGTAGACTTTAGCCGGAGGGTTGGAGTAGAAACCCTCCTCGAAATCCTTGTCCTTCAGCTTGTTGTAGGTCCCCTGGAAGGAGGAGAAGGTGCCCATGTGCTGGAACAAGGAGGGCTTGAAGACGATGGTCTGCTTCTGGGTCATCAGCTCCCGGAAGTGGGACATCAGCCAATCGCAGGGCATCTCCTGGTAGAAGAGGAAGAGGAAGCGCGCCAGCAGGGGGAGCTGTTCGGCCCGGTACAGTTTCCCGATGTAGCCCAGGCTGGAGAACTCCAGCATGGCCCAGGATGGCGTCTTCTGGCTCTGCTCCGTTACGCGCCTCCGGATGGTGGACAGGAAGCTGCGGGCGGAGAGCACGTCGTCCTCCAGCTGCAGGTAGAACCGGCCCAAACCCGCGCTGAAGTGGATCAGGAACGAGTAGTCCAGGTTCTGCTTGGACCTGAACGCCACGCGCTCGGGGGCGTCGTTGAAGTTCCTCTTGAGACCTGGAAGAGGAGAGAGGCCGTAAAACCACGTCCGGATACAACTAAAAGATAGATAGATAAATAGAGATACAACTAAAACGTTCACGGATACATTTGTTTATTTATTTACGTTGTTTATGATCATTAACGTGACGTTAGCCTTGAATTGCTAGCTGCGGCTAATGGCTAATAATAACACGCCAACATTAATCAAGTCTGCAGGAAGCCAAGGATGGATATCCAACTCCCCCACATCCAAGTCGGCCATTTTGATTAGGTCACCAGGAAGATCCCAGCAAAGAAAATCCTAACTGCTTCATGGCAATATAGACATTCATTTAAAAATAGTGAAATGAATCTAGCAAACACTGAATTAAACTCTATCCATAATATTATGTTAAAATAGTGGATGTTAAATAGGTTTGTACAATAAGTCCAAACAAGTTTAACCAAAAAATATTTATTTCTCACAATTATGAAGGCTGGAGGGTTAGGGTTAGGGTTAGGGTTGGGTTAAGTTTAGGGTTAGGGTCAGGTCAGGGTCAGGGTTAGGGTTAGGGTTGGATTAGGGTTAGGGCCAGGGTCTGGGTTAGGGTCATTAATGTGGGCCACTATAACATCAGTAACAGGTCAGTTTGAAACCAAAGACACTAACCTGTCAAAACTCAGTTAAATTTTGGGGTCTTTGTTTTTATCCTTGTGGTATCAAAATGGTATCGAGTATCGAATATTTTCCTGAGTATCGGTATCGAGTTGAACATTTTAGTACCCTGACAGCCCTGTTTACCTGACAGAGGGGGGTAGTAGTCCTGAGGAACGTGGATCAGGGTTAGGGTCATTAATGTGGGCCACCATAACATCAGTAACGGGTCAGTTTGAAACCAAAGACACTAACCTGTCAAAACTGAGTTAAATTTTGTGTTCTTTGTTTCTATCCTTGTGGTATCGAGTATTGAATATTTCCCTGAGTATCTGTATGGAGTTGAACATTTTGGTCACCTGACAGAGGGGGGTAGTGGTCCTGAGGAACGTGGATCAGGGTTAGGGTTAGGGTTAGGGTTAGCGTTAGGGTCATTAATGTGGGCAGTTTGAAACCAAAGACACTAACCTGTCAAAACTGAGTTAAATTTTGTGTTCTTTGTTTCTATCCTTGTGGTATCAAGTATTTCCCTGATTGTCAAGTTGAACATTTTAGTATCGGGATAACCCTGGTCACCTGACAGAGGGGGGTAGTGGTCCTGGGGGACGTGGATGAG